CATCAGCTGAGCGCGCGGCGCGTATCACGTGGTGCGCGTGTCGAAGGTCACAGCGCGCTCACAATGGAGCTCTCGGAGTCTGTGCAGAAGGGCTTCCAGAGGCTGGCCGATCCCGGCTCCTTTGACTCCAACGCCTTCACGCTTCTCCTCCGGGCGGCTTTCCAGAGCCTGCTGGACGCCCAGGCGGACGAGGCCGTGTTAGGTAAGCCGCTAGGCTCCGAGCTGGGTCGGCCTGGGCGGAGGGGCGCTCGGAGGAGAGTGCGAGACCGAGCGAGAGGGGGAGCCCCGGGAAGAGGAAGTCTCCGGGCTCTGCCCTTCGCTCCGGACGGAGTGTGGGGTGGCGGCTCCGCCAAGACCCAGAGCGGACCCTAGCCTTGCTCTGTCCCCAGTTGGCACCTGCACGTAGCCAGCTGTGTGTTCCGAGCCGGATTCCCCTCCCAGGCTCTTTGTTCTTGTGTAAAACCCGTGTTTAAGTCTTGTTTGTGGCCTAAACACCTAAGGTTCTCAGCCTGGTCTGGGGTGCAGGCTGTTTGACACTTGGGTTTCATCAGGCGAGCTCCCTGGCAATTCAAGCTTTCAGTGCTAGACTGGCAGCGGTTTCAAAGGCTCTGTTTCCAAAGTAATGGCGAGGTCCCATCGTGTTGACATCTCCCAGCTTAGAGAATACCCCCGGCGCCTGGGATCCCTCCAGCCGCGCAGCTCGGTACCTTCTGCACAGGCTGCACACCTAGAGGTTACGTTGCGGTGCACAATGTTTTGTTCCGCACCAGCTACCAGGAGGCGACTCTCGGTGGTGCAGCCAGCGATTGCGGAGTGCGGTGTTTGTACGGATTGAAGACATATTTTAAGACAGGTCGCTTCTAGGTACTTTTCTTAAATATAAATATCCCAACAATTCAAATGTTTGTGTTTTTTTTCTGTAGTTTCATGAACTAAACACGTACAGAAGGTATGAAAGTGGAAGTTCTGTAAACGAAAATAGTAGCCACCACCTGGGTAATCTCAAAAAAGGGATGGCTCTCAAAACCTGAAAACATTTTGAAAATTATGTTTAATATTCTGAACCCGTGCCCTTGCCTCCCTTGATGTGTTACTGTCCATGGAGCCATTTACACTATAATTAATCTTCAGAGGGAATGTATTCATTCTTAAATTTGCACCAAGTGAAATATTTATGTCCTTATTTTCCTCTGAATTTGCTCCATCCAGTGTTGCAATGGCCACTGTATAGTTATTTTTTTCTTTGGAACTATAATGCTTTTTTAAGAACACTAAAAATATGAAGGCAAAATTAAAGAAGGTAATTGAGACCGGGAAATACCAGAATTATTGATGTGTGCTCTTTATTGTTTTGCCATTGACCTTCTTGCTCATCTCATTTACTTATAATTGCCAGTCCTTACAGTGGAATTCTTTTTGTTATCTTGTTAGAGGGGTGGGGTACCCAAATGAAACTATCCCTTACAGAAACATGACCATAAAAATTTTATCAAAGGCATCACTGGCAATCAATCTATTTTAGATCACCCAGACTTGAAACATATCGACCCAGTGGTTTTAAAACATTGTCATACAGCAGCTGCAACTTACATACTGGAAGCAGGAAAGCAAAGAGCTGACAAATCAACTCTAAGGTATAGGATTTACTTAAATTCCATTTATTATCAAATAATATCTTTATTATTACAATTTTAGTTTTAAAATGGGAACTAAACTTTGATTTCTTTTTTCCTTTAGCACTTATCTAGAAGACTGTAAATTTGATAGAGAGCGAATAGAACTGTTTTGCACAGAATATCAGGTTATTTACCTCAATTTTTTAAAATGAGCAATTACTGTTTTTTTCTATTCTGTTTGCAAAGATGTTTTCTTTTCTTTTTTTCCACCCTCCAGAATAATAAGGATTCCCTAGAAATCCTACTGGGAAGGTAGGTACTGTGTAAGGTGTCAAGTAGAGCCACTTTTCACTTGCAGGTATGAATGAAGAATGCTGGTGTGAAACAAAACAGGGTAAAAAAAAAAAACCAGGGATTTTGACCAAAAGAAAAGGGGCCAAAGGGCAAGTTAAACAATTGAAGTTAAGCTAATGTTTTTAAAAGATGAAGATAATTTTTAAAATGATCTTTTACTATTCAAAACTTGAAGTTTAACAATGTTTTAAATTCAGAATGGATTCAAATTTTGTGGGGGGTGGGAGGGAGGTGGAAGGTAGAAACCATTCTTACTGAAAGTTTTTTGTGGATATTATGTACAAAATTATCATTGTATCTTTCAGTATAGGCAGATCTCTCCCTCATATAACTGATGTTTCTTGGCGTTTGGAATATCAGATAAAGGTAAAGTTTAACTGTTCTCTCAGGGTGTTTAGGAACTTAAAAAAGCAGAGTTGAACACTGAAATGTGTTGTGTTGTTTTAGACCAATCAACTTCATAAGATGTACAGACCTGCATATTTGGTGACCTTAAATGTAGAGGTATTTATACATTAGCCCTGTCTAAAAATTAAATGTGTAATGGAATTTTAATTTTCTTGATTTAAACAGCATTTTTTTCCTTCTCTAGAATACTGATTCCCAATCCTACCCAGAGATTAGCTTTAGTTGCAACATGGAACAATTACAGGTACAGTATTAGGATCTGTGAATATGTCCATCTTTTTATAGATGTTTGAGAATTATGCTTTTGGAAAGTTCAAAAGAAAAATCTAATCATCTGTCAGTAGATAATGAAGACTGGGTAAGGATTTAATGGAAAGGGGACTTCAAGAGCAATTTTTTAACGTAGACTTCACTTTTGGAATTAAGATGATACTAATAGAGAATTGGTCTATATTGGCTGTTCCTTTCAGTTAAAGTAAACTTTTGAGTATATTGTTGAGTGTAAATTCCTTCTATTTGTGATGAGTTTGATCCAATAGGACAAAGCAAAATTATAAACATGGCTTTGAAAATGGATTCTTTGTTTTCAGAAATTGAATTAAACTTTCAAAAGAGGATTTTTAAACTGTGGTTTTAAAAGACTTTTTAATAAAGGGGAAACTATACATAAAATTCTAAAATTTTATATTGCCAATGTAAGGCTGGGGAAATTCACCACTACATTGATTAATGGACATGACAACGAATTTCTTTCTTTCCACTTAAAAATGAAGATCATTGCTTCAAATTTTAGTGAAATTGAATTTTCCAAAAGGCATCTTCTGCAGTTTTTTTTTTAAATGTAACCATTAATCAACTTTAAACTTTCAGAAAATGTGAATACAGGATAATCTTTGTTAGATAACTTGAGAAATTTAATTTATATATACCTTGCCTGTTAAGAGGATTCGGTTGTAAATCATTATTTCAAATCTGAGGGCAAGTAGCCGATTTGAAGATAAACTATTTTAGAGGAAAACCTTCTTTTGATGGTCTGTCAGAGGTTAACATCCTCGTGAATTTTAAACTTGTTTATAAAGTGTCTCCCGACTTTTTTCTTGAATCTTTCTCAAACTTGGATACTTCTTTCCCGTGTTTTATCTTAAAAAACATAGCATTATATACGTCTTTTAGGACTTAGTGGGGAAACTTAAAGATGCTTCGAAAAGCCTGGAAAGAGCAACCCAATTTTAACTTGGGGAAGTTAGCGACCGCCCGCGCCTGGAAGACCAGCACTCCTTGACGTCCCGTCGGCCGAACCGTCGTTTGTGTCCTGTTTTTAATAGAAAAAAATTTTTTTGGATTTATGCCACTCATCAGTTTTGACACTTTTTTACTTACGAAAAAGTTTAGAGGGAAAGTCTGCCTACGTGTTTGAATCGTTAGTATTAACTGTACATTGATCCATTTTGATTTCTCAAGTCTTAAAAAAGGAAGTAGACAGTATTTACATTCTGAATAAATTCGTTCTCTCCAGAACTGAGCGTTTGTTTGGATGTGTTTGTGTGTCAGTTATTACTCTGAAGACAGAACAATTAGCGTTAATTCTTAACGACTGTCTTTCCCCTGGATTAAAATTAAACCCGGTGGGAAAAGAGGCGAGCTCCCGGTGGAAGGCTCCGGCTTGGAGCCGGGAGCCGGTGCAGTCACCCCGCGAGGGGAGCTGGCCCGTCCC